CATAAACAATATTTTAGGAATTTGGGCATAGCTTCTCATATTACTTTCTATGGTGGTATTGTGTTCCCCAAAATATTGTGCACCCTAATAAACTTATCTGGGGTCAAAGAACAGAACAGCCACTAGATACAGAGGCTAGAAAATGGTGGCACTCACACCTTTAATCCTAGCATTCCAGAGGCAGAAATCCCTCTGGATCTCTGTGAGTTCAAGGTCACATTGGAAACAGCCAGGCATGGTGACACACGCCTTTAATCCCAAGAAGTGAGTCTTTAATCCCAGGGGGTGATGGCAGATAGCAGAAAGGTATATAAGGTGTGAAGACCAGGAACTAGAAGCATTTGGATGGTTAAGCTTTCAGGCTTTTGAACAGCAGTTCAGCTGAGATTCATTCTGGATGAGGACTGAGAGGCATCCAGTCTGAGGAAACAGAATCAGCTGAGGAATTGGCAAGGTGAGGTAGCTGTGGCTTGTTTTGCTTCTCTGATCTTCCAGCATTCACCCCAATAACTGGCCTCAGGTTTGTTTTTATTAATAAGAACTTTTAAGATTCCTGCTACAACTTTCTGCTGATAGAAGGGGCTGGTAATCTTATGGGGATCCTGAGAATATTAAGAATTATAGTTAAATCTTGGCTGTAGCATCTGTGAGGATGGATCATCTCAGTCAGTTGCTTTGAAGCTGATTTTGGATGTTGGATGATCTGGGCCATGGCGTCATCAGAGACCTTTCAGGGGGTCTTGACTGATCAAACCATGTATGTCTAGAAGCAATCCATAGGTTCTCATCTTCTGTGGAAACAAAAGCAGAACTTTTTTCCCAAAGCAACATATCGTTAGACACAAAATTTGAAGTCAAGATACCTTTAAAATGTACATATTGGTTTAACTTAGAGGCCTTTACAATAAAATGTCTCTCTGTAGTTAAAAATTCCAAAGACAATATAATCCAGACTCTGTGTGTGATTTCCATCTTTACATGGCTTATTTTTTATATTACTTTTACTGTTTCTTTAAAAGACTTTATTTTTTAAAACTATTTATTTATATAACTGCATATATTCCGTTTCCTCTCTCTTCTAAGCCTACATACATTTTTACATATAATGTAAACCATTTAAAATTTTATTCCACCTGAATCTGCCTTATTGTGAATCTATTGCTTTAAACTGCAGTGGCTAGTACTGAAGCAGACTGACTGACTCTGCCCACTTCAGCTTCCCAATATGGTGGTGGTACATTTGCCACCAACTCTGGGGGCCATGCACACCACTAACTCCTGGAAGCAGTGGGTTTATGCCTTCATCAAAGCAGCATGTAGCCCAGAAACTTTTTTTGTCTGTACTAGCAAAAGCTAAATCCACCATGCAGCATACTGCACAGCTTGGAGAAACCTCTGTATAATTTGGCGGCAATCCACCATGCATGCTGTAGCTCTAGCCAGCACACTAAGAACCTGCCAAAGCTGGGGACACATCACTGTACCTCAGTCCGCCATGAGTGACATGAACTAGGAAGGTGCTAGTTAGCTACATTTATAATCTTGGCTACACTTATAATCTCTTCTTAAGCTCTCTCAGGTTTTAGGTGGAAACTTGTCACCATGCCTGGGTGCCATTTGTAGCCAGAAAGTTTCTCTGGTCCCATCAAGCCCCCACAGTCCCACTGGCCTGCTTATAAAATAATAACTCATAAGCTTATATTAATTATAAATGATTGGCCATTAGCTCAGGCTTATCACTGACTAGCTCTTACACTTAAATTAACCCATAATTCTTATCTATGTTTAGCCATGTGGCTTGGTACATTTTCTCAGTTCTGCCTTGACATGTTGCTTCCTCTGTGTCTGGCTGGTGACTCCTGACAAAGGTAAATTTCCAGCTACATAGCATTTTTTCAATAAAGAATTAGTTATCCTGATTCTCCCTCAGACCATGTCACTCTCCTTCCTTCACTGACTCCACACCTCCTCTTTGGGACATCAACTCCACTAGAATTGGACTCTGGCAAGTATCTCTTTGCAGAAAACAAATCTCAGTTTCCACATGGCACCCACAGCACACATCTGTACCTCCAAAGTTCCAAGGGATTCAACCATCTCTTCTTGCAGAATGGACAGTGACCTTGTGAGTGGACAGAAATGCAGACAGATACCCATGCTCACTGTGAAATATACCTTAATGAGAGTCTAATGGTTGAGGCCACTCATCTGGAAGACCTTTCACTTGTCCTCTCATACCTGGACCCCAGATATACCAGATGCTTTTGTAGCTGGGTTATGTGGTCTGGCAGGATGCCCAGAACATGTGTCCTAGCATTTACTGGCTTCATCCCAGGTGGAGCAAGGTATGATCAAGGCTTCCACCACTCCCCAAATTGATGAGTATCTCTGTGCATGTTTTTATAGTTATATACTTGGTAAAGCTATTTTATCACATTTTCTTTCTATTGTGTGTATCTGCTGGTAGGTGCACAGATGACACAGAACACAGGTTGCAGTCAGAGGACAGGTAAGAATTGGTTCTCTCCTTCCACCTTGTGGGAAGCAAAGTTAGGTCAGTAGGATTGTCATAAAGCCACATTATTGGCTGCTCCATCTTGCTGAGCCTGACTTTGAGCAATATGGGAGTATATTCTTGTGGTATGTATTTGAGAGGGACTGGTACATTTATATTTGTAGGCCATGTGTAATGAATGTGTCAGTTTGGCTGCTATCTTTCATGCATGTTTGGAGAAGTCTTCATGGGTGATTTGGGGTTGTGTGTGGCAAAGGTGTTGCTAAGGCACAATGTTGCCTGTGTGAAGCTCTGGCATGTCAGGTTTGGTCTGGCAATGACAAATTTGGCCAAACTTATTAAGCCAGCCCAGCTATCTTTGTTCCACCCAACTCTGCACTTGTAGTTCCCATTTCTTTCTCTGGCTCAGCCTCTGCCATACACACTACTGGACCCTCCTTGGATGTGGTCCTGCCCATCCTGCCACTGCCAGCACTGGATCCACCCACTGTGACAAATTCCTCACTCAACCCTGTCCAAATTCTTCTGCAACTTTCCCCTAACTTCATCCCCATCCAAGTCTCCAACCACATTTAGAATCTGTTCCTGATCCCGGCATCTGACCCCACTCTGCCCAGTCTGTCTCTGTGCCCACAGATGCACCCCAACATTCTCATCTCACCCTCTGGCCTTAATACTGCCAGGCCCCATACACTTCCCTGCATAATACTTGGAAACAGAGGGAATTGTAATGGGAGTAGAAACCTTAGGTATATTGGCAACTTCTTCTTGTAACTTGCTTGTGCCTTCAAGGACATGCTTAGCCAAATCACAAATATATCACTTACATTTGATAATAGATTCCTGCTGTGAACATTCTAATTTATGACTTGATGAGTCAGATAGCACCCAGCTCATGATGGGCAGGAAACTCAGGTTTCATATGACATTGTGGCCCATTGTCAAATGTTCAGGTTCCACTAAGGCCTAAGAGTATGCAAATAGCTGTCTCTGAAACAAAGAATAGTTGTCTATAGATGGTGTTAGAGCCTTGCTCCAAGTTCACAAAGGTTTCATCTTTGATAAAACTATAGGATACAAGCAAAGGCTCCTAAGATCATTCCTATCTGCCACAGACATTGAATCCCATCAGGTCTGCTGGTCCAAGTGGTAGAGAAGCCTGCATAGCAACCTGGGCCCATTGAAGACCTTCTCCTTTTCCAGGACACATAAACCTTGCAGATTTCCAAGTCACTTGGTCTATGGGCTGGAATAATACACCCAAGTGCTGTCTTTGGAATCCAAACAGGCACACTAAATGTTGTGCTTCTTTCTTGATGGTGGGAAGGGCATGGTACAATAACTTTTCCTTCATCTTAGAAGAAATATCTCTGCATGTTCCACATCACTAAACTCATAAGCATTTCAATGAGGTAGAATACCCTTGAATTATGTCTCATCCTCTAATGGGCATATGTGTTACAAATGAGTTCAAAGGGGTTGCTGCTTACTGCTCATGTGGTCCAATCAACATAATAGTTCACCAATGTGATATTTTCTGAAAGTGTCAGGAGATTGAGATCCCTTCTAACCATGATATGACACAGTGAGGGAGAGGTAACTTATTATAGGTGTTAAACTGTGAAGGAAACAGCCTAATGCCATTTTTCATTCCATAGTTTTAAGTAGATTGGTTAGTACATGGTTAGATGTTAAAATTTTTGATTTTTCTGAAATTGCACTGGAAATAACAATTGCAATTCATGACGCCAAAAAGGAGTTGGTAAATGAAGTTAGCTTTCCCACAGAATCTCCTTAGTCCTCATCAAAATGGAGAGAATTCAAGATTAGACTGATTAGTAAATTACTAATCATGATTCAGGATCTTTTTCAGAAAATGGAAGATATGTATATAAAAGAGGCTCCAGTAAGGAAGCCGAGGGAGCTGTCATCTTCATTCATGTCAATGGTGCTTTACTTTTGATTTTGCCTGAATAAAGAAATTCAACTTTTTTGCTTCTTTTATCAAATATAATGTTTGGTCATTAAGTTTATATTCATTCCAGGAATATTCCATGAATATCACTTCTTCATGATTAATATCTTCCTTAATTATTGGACCAATAGTCCAAGTTAATGATCAAGTAACCCAAAATCAAACAGGGATCTTTCCCTTGTTTATATGTCTTTTCATTTCCCTTTTGAACTCTGTCACACACTTCATCTGAACTGCCTTCTTCTGGAAACCAGGGCTTATAAACAATTTTCAGGTAATGTAATAGTTGTGCTTTTAATACTGGTGCTCCTCCTTACTTTTAAAATGATTCACTAGCTCAACATAAGTCAAAGCCTCTCCAGGTTCTGCACCATTATTCTCACTCACCTCCTTCTATGAGAGTCCTCATTCTCTTATCTTGTAGCCAATTACTTGTCCCTGTTAAGGAACCACCTGTAAACATTCTAGAAACTCTGGAAGAATTGATCTGATAAATGAGGCACACTACAGTCTTATACAATAGTCCCTTTATTCAAAGCCTGAGATCATTTATTATCTTAGGGTTAAGAAAGGTCACCTGAGTAAAGTTTTAGGGTGTGCAAGCTGTATACAGTGACAAAAACAATCCACATTGGACATAAAGACATATAAAACATAGTTTAATTGAATAACAAAATTATAGAGTATGAGTAACATGAAGGAAACTCACACCTAACTGCTGTATTGGGAGGAACACAAAAACATATTCCAATGACAGTTCTGTGTTTTGAAGAAACCGAAGTCACAATTGTCTTGTTTTATTTTCTTGAAGTGTACACACAAGCAGTAAAAATTCTCTTCACATGACTTCATTCCAGGACAGTGTTCCAAAAATAAACATGAATAAAAGTAATTTTATTTAAAAAAAAATAACAAATACATGAAGAAAACTCTTTTCAAAATATGGAGTCTCCTTTTCTCATCATTTTGCCACACACAAAAATACATATGTACATGTACACATATACATATACATATTTCTGCCTTTATACCATTAACATTCCTGGTGCCCAAAGAAAGCATAAAATTGCATCCAACCTGCTTGATTAGGATTTACAGGTATTTCTGATCCACCTAATTTGGGTGCTAGGAACCACACTTGCAGCCTAACAGCAGCAATGCTACTGAGTCAACTCTCCAGCTCCCAAATATGTCATTATAATTCAGAAAATGAAGATATTCCCTTACACCTTCTGCCTTCCATCATTTGCAGGTGACAAAAGTCCCTGCTACCTGATCAATGAAGGATTGAGTGAATTTCCATTCCTTTGTAAATGGTTTCTACACATCGATTATTTTAATTGTTAGTACAATTCTCTTGATGTGAATGACCACAACTGATTTAGCTGTGGAGAGATGAGTTCACATTATGCTAGGGAAAGTTCTACAATGTTGTTTATACTATTAAAATGTGATTTTTTTTTAAAATTTAAGGTGAACAAGTCTTTTGCCTGCATGTATGTCTGTTTGAGGGTATTGGATCCCCTAGAACTGGACTTAGAGACAGTTGTGAGCTTCTATTTGTTTGTTTGTTTTGCTTGTTTTTGTTTTATATTTTGAGACAAGATTTCTTTGTGTAACTTTGCAGCCTGTCCTAGAACTCACTTTGTAGACCAGGCTGGCCTCAAACTCACAGAGATCCACCTGCCTACTGAGTGCTGGGATTAAAGGTACACGCCACCACCGCCTGGCTCAGTTGTGAGCTTATAGCTGGGTACTAAGTATTAAACCTGGGTCCTGTGGAAATGTACCCCTTTCCACATTACTTTTTTGGATTTTTTTTTTGAGAAAAGGTCTCTAAATATACCCAAGGCCTTCCTGGAACTTAATATCATCTGGCCATCAGGCTTTGCAGCAACGATATTGACCTACTGACAAAATTTTCTGCCATTCACTTGTGCTTCTGAGAATATGTTAAGAACAAATGTTTAGTCATCAGAATGAAGTAACATGATTCAAAAATAATGGATGACAGCATAAATATAATTTTCATTTGCAAATATGCTTTACTATTCAAAGAATCATATGTTTCTATATTCTTGGAGTATAATATGTTTACAACTTGTAAAGGAGACAGTGTTTTAACTGTGACTCTACTAATCCTACATAATCACCAATGAGATAGCTCAGTGGGAAAAATGTATGTGGACTGCAAGGCTTTACCTCATTTATTAGGTTCATGGAGATTTTCACCAGTGTGAATTTTTCATGATTTTGAAAGTTACTGCAACATGCAAAGACTTTACTACACTGATTACATTCATAGCGTTTTCCACCAGAATGTCTTCTTTTATGTATTTGGAGATAACTGGAATGTGTAAATATTCCATTGATATTTATACCTTTTCATTTTAGTGTGAGTTGTATGTATTTAATGAAGACTGTGACAAGCAAACGATCTATAACATTGACTATTCATAGAGTTTTCATTCCAAGTAAGTTCTTTGGTGCACTCTTAAGGAGGAATCAGATCAGAGTTTATCATGTTGACTACATTCGTAGAGATCCTCTTCATTATTGGTTGCTTTCTGTGTTTGAAGATACCCTTAATGGCTAAAGCATTTAGTGTATGGTTCACATTTTTTACTCCCCTTCCCATATGAGGTTTTTGTTTCTTTGAAGAGAACTGGAAGGACTCAGAACTTTGCTACAATGATTGCATTCATAACATTTTCTGAGACTGAGTGCAAAGTGATCTAGTATAGACAGACAAATTTCCATATTCCTTGTAATCATAAGGGTTTTCTCCAATGTGAGTTTATTGATGTATTCCCACTGAAGTTGGAAAATCAATTAGTTGTAAGTTTGTATCACAGTCATCATGCCTTCTCATAGTAGGGACTACTACATATCTTCCAGCTGTTCTGAGAGAGACAGAAGTACAATGTTTCTTTCCATATCCCTTATGCTCAAATGGCTTGTATCCAGAGTGACAGATGATGTACCTGGTAAATTAAGAATTAAAAAAAAGATTTTACCCTTGCATTCACATAGTCTAATATCTTGTGCCTCATACAGATGTTGATATTGATTCAGGTTTCTACACCATGACAACCTCATTGTCCCTCATGAAGTGCTCCTAAGAGCACCAATCTCCAAAAAGGGTTGTCTTCTTATATTAAAAAGTGATGGAAAGCTTACATTCTTACCCTTAGATGTGAGGTTCCAGTAGATTTCCAGCATCACATCTTTGTAGAGACTCTTTTGGGAAGGGTCTACCAAAGCTCATTCTTCATGAGTGAAGTTCACATGCATATCCTCATAAAGAATTGCATTGTATCCTAAAATATCCCATATATATGTATATATATACATCCCATATATATATACACATATATATACACACACAATAGAAATATTGAGAATGATACACTTCATTGACAATATATTTACATAATTCTTTGTGCTGGATAAGCTCTATGACACGGGTCATTAATAGCAAGTGAAGACACTAATGCATTTTAAAAGAAAACAGAAAAGGAGAATGACACCTTCCATTTGTGTGCTTACCAAATAGAATATGTCATTCCAGGAGAAATGCCTAGTAAAATATACAGAGAGACATGCGAAAAGAGTAATACCGTTTAGAATACATCCACAAAATTTTATTACAATTGTTAACTTCAGAAAAGGATTGACAATATGGGCAGAACTTTAATCCCAAATCTCAGAAGTCAGAGAGAGGTGAAATACTGTGATTTCCATGACAGCTTGGTCTATGTAGAGATTTCTGGGACAACCTAATGTACATAGTGAGACCCTGTATCAAACAAATAAACAAAAATAGCAAGCAAACAAAAAATAGAAAGCACTCAGTGCTCACTCACAATTCCTCCATAGAATTAAACGTTCACTCAAATTCTGTACTTTTCTATCATAAACTGCAATGATTCCTTTAAACTATGAGGCTAATAATTCCTAGGAAGGAAAGTATTTTTAAGAAGTTACTGACTGACAGTTCAACAAGTTTTCAAAAAAATTAGTAAAGAAAATGCTGATCCTAAAGTAGTAAAACAAACAACATCAACAAAGGGATGAAGTATATTAAGATGGCTCAAAAAATAAGATCACCTGTTGCTTTTGAAGAGGTCCTAGATCAGTTCCCTTGAGGTTTTCAACTATTCCTGTCATCAGGTCAAGAGAATCCAATGCTCTCTTCTGATTTCTGTAAACAATTGGAAGACAAGCCATAAACACCCATATATGTGTGTGTGTGTATACACACATATATATGCATATATGTGTGTAAGTATGTATATATATGCAAAAGATTTACACATTTGAAAACAATTTAAAACTTTAAAAGCATACACAAAGTTAGGGACAACAGTAGACACCTGCAATTCAGTGATTAAGAAGATCACTACTAATTTCATGAATGCATGTATTCTTGGTCTGAAAAATGACACTCAAAAGTCATGAGGTGGATAAAGTTCAGTACTTGCTTGACATGTACAAATACCCGATTCAATCAGTGAAAAATATAAACATAAAATTATCAGACAAAAAAAATTAATTATCAAGGAAAAGCAATTGTTTCTATTTTACTTTACATTATTTAGGAATTGGAGTCTGTAATGGTGTTGATTGTGTGGTTACATGAGAAGGAAGGGGGTTGCTTATTATCAACCACACAAAGAAGTGTGGTGATGGTATAAACACTCAAAGTCCTTCCCCTGAAAAGACTTCCTCCTAAGGGTTTCATAAGTCACTAATGAAGACCACAAACCTAAGACAAATGTTCAAATACAGCATAGTATCTGGAAGTTTTTTCATTCAATCCTCTATATTTGAGACAGATCATGATAGGCTCACAGTCAAATCATGATGCAAAGTGCATTTAGCCTAATTTCAAAGATCCCTATATTTTCCAACTGTCCCAACATTGTTCTAATGTTTAAAGTTTCTTCTGACACTCAACTCAAATCTCTGGACTATGATATCTTGTAATGTCAAAACACAAATTATATATACCCGACATGTAATGACACAAAATACACATTTCTCTTTCAGTGAATTAAGGAAATGCTGGAAGAAGACAAGTATGAAACCCTATAGGGCAAACACCAAATCCTGCAGCTCTATGTCAGCCACCTGGGGTTTTAGTTTCACAGGGCTTAGTTGGTTCTTCCTTACTGCAATACCTCATACATCTCTCTCTTTGGCTACTTCCAAATCCTACATGAATCTTTCATTGCAGGTGTCTCAAAGCTTAGGTATCTCAACATATTCTTACCTGAAAATGCAACTCAGACTTCATTTCATGGCTTCATGCAAGGAAGTCTCATAGTCTCCTCACTGAGGTGAGGCCCCCAAGTTCTAGACCCAACACTAAGGCTGTAGGTTATTATTATCATTGAGACAGGGTGTCCTGTAGCCCCAGGTAACATTGAATGCCTTGTTTAACCAAGATAGCCCTGAACTTAACCTTCCTTCCTTCATTTCCAAGTGCTAGGATTATCAGCTTCAGGGCTACAGTTTTTAAAGTGGTTAGAGCAGAGCTACCTCATTAAATGACACAAAGAAAATAGGGATACATGAGATTTGACCATTATTGGCAAAGGGAAAAACAGGTGCAAATGCCCTGAGGTGATAATGTGCTTGACAACCCAAAGCACTGCAACATGGTTAAAGCAGTATCAGCAGAGAACCATGAAAAACAATGGACTTGGGAGGACTTGATGTTATAACGAACTTTATTTGTCAGGCCTTTGGTTTTGAGAATAAATAATGTGAATAGTAACATGACCTAATTTGTTGTTTAGATCTCTGGCACATTACACATGGTTCAGTGGTTAAAGAAAACTGCTGGATTTTTCAGAGGACCCAGGTTTGATTCCATGTTACCCAATGGACACTCAATGATCAGTAACTCTAGTTCCAGAGTAATCAATGCCTTTTCTGACATTCTCAGACTGCAGACATATACATGGTACATGGACATACATGCAGGCAAATACCAATACATATACCATAAAACAATAATTTACAAAAATAGAAAAGGTCTGACTGCTGAGTTAAAACATAAATGTTTGAAGAACTAGAGATTTTTGGACGTGATTAGAATAAGTTCAAAAGGGCCATAGGAATGGCTAAGTGGTTACCAGCACTTGATGCTCCTCCAAAGAACTTGGGTTTGGTTTCCAGTACCCATGTTGTCACACAAAAACACCTATATCTCTAGGTCTAGGAGATCTGAAACTTTTCTGGTCTCCATGGAACCAGGTATACCATCTGTACATAGGCATAAAAGCATGAAAAACATTTATACATAGCAAATGATATTTAAAATTCTATTAAAAAGAAAAAGATTATAGGACCTGAAGATGTAGCTCAGTTGGAAGCATACTTGCCTAGCATGCATGAATCCCTCAGTTCAATTCCTATTCCATAAAGAGGACAAGGATAGTGTGGTGGTTTGAAAGAAAATGGCCCTCAAAGAAAGTGGCAATATAAGGAGGGGTGACTTTGTTGGAGTAGGTGTGGCATTTTTGGAGAAAGTGTGTCATTATGGTGGTGGGCTTTGAGGTCTCATATATGCTCAAGATACTACCTGGTGTCCCAGATCATTTCCTGTTCCCTGCAAGATATAGGACTCTCATCTACTTCTCCAGTACCATGTCTGCCTGCACACTTCCATGTCCGAGCATGATGATAATAGACTGGCTCTTTGAACTGTAAGTGAGCCATCCCCCCAAAAGTGTTTTTCTTTATTAGAATTACCATCGTCACCGTGTCTCTTCACAGCAATAGAAATCCTAAGACAGATAAGGATGCCTGTCATTCCAGCACTTAAGAGGTGGAGGTAAACTGATCAGAAGTTCAAGGTCATTCTTGGGTTCATAGGGAGTTTGAGGTCAGCCTGGGCTATGAGACTCTGCCCCAAGAAACAAGAACACAAAATGAGTCACAAAAGAATATCCCAGGAAAGAGAAGAACAAAGCATTTAGGATGCATATCAAAAAGGAGTTATGAAAGATCACAAATCTGGAATAAGTGTTGATTTCATTCATAGTCAAAAGAATTGGCAACCCGAGGGTGTGAATTGAAATTGGTCCTAAGCAAACTTCATATGCACACTTACCACTGAGCAAACTTTCCAGCCTATTTAAACTGTTTAAGTACAACTACAATGTAGTTTTGGCTTCTGAATGTTATTACCAGAAGACATATACATGTTTATCTTGGAGGAAGAACACTTTTAAAATGTCCCAGCAATGGCTGCATTTAAAGGAATTAGAAATTTACTTTTCACAAGCAACAGTCCATAGAATTAAATGAACAATCTTTCTTTGTCAAATTATATCCATTATATCCCTATATAATTATATATGGCTCTGAAAATAAAATATTGAGTATTAGGCTAAGGACTGTAGCCTGCAGAACAGAGGTCTCACTAAAATTTATCTTTAGTGAAATGTCTTTGTCAGGTAGATATGGAATCCTGACATCTGTCATCATTAACAGGGATGTGGAAACAAGAGAATTTGGAGTTCAAGGTCAGTCTTAGCCCATTGAGATCCTACCTAAAAAAAGTTTCTCTAAGTGACACATAAAGGTGCCAATTGATTAAAGGGAGTTATAGGAGAAATAGAGAAATAGTATCACATAAAAGCATTTCATTTTCATTGTATTAATTATCTCTTAATCATACATATTCATAAGTTGAGTTATGCATCACTAATTGAACCAGGTTAGCATTAGACTTCTTGCCCTGCCACCAAAATACTAGGATGAGAAGTGTGAGCCCTTATGCTCCATTAAAAAATATACTTATTAAATTCATGTATAATACATATATATATATATATATATATATGGGTATCTATATCTATCTATCTATCTATCTATCTATCTATCTATCTATCTATCTATCTATCTATCTATGGCAACCTCTAGGAGAAGGGCAAAAATAAAGTGAAAGTGACAGATTAGTTTTAAAATATTTTAACATTTGCCAATGGAAAGTCTAACCATGAAACAGTCATCACCATTGGGTCTACTAGAGGCAAGAAAAACTTTGCACTTTATTTCTCAAGAACATAATGTGGAATTTGCACATAATGTGCCCAGGTGAGATCTTAGTCCTACAATAAGGAAATTGTTTTGTGTTGTTGGACCAAGGTCTCATTCTGTGTTCTGATCTGACCTCTAGCTAGTGGTGATCTTCCTGCTTCAGCTTTTCAAATGCTGGAATTACAGGTGTGCGTCACCATGACTGACTGAAGGAAATTTGGTGTAAAAATTGACTCAGTAGTACATTATTTGCCTACCATTTGTGAAGCACTGGGGTTTGATCTTTAGCCCACAGGAGCTCATTGCTGTGGCTTCATTGCTCATCCAAATGCCCATAAGCATATAAAATATCTGTTAGTGTCTTCAAACCAAAATTAATCAAAAGAGATGGGGAATGACAGTATACAGTCATCAAAGGAAAAGTCCACCATGATGATGTCTCAATTTTTTTTTACATGTACCACATTTTCTTTATTCTTTTTTTTATTTTATAATAAAATTCAGTTCTACATATCAGCCACGGATTCCCTTGTTCTCCCCACTTCTGGCCCCCTCCCCCCTAACATACCCCCATTCCCACCTCCTCCAGGGCAAAGCCTCCCCCAAGGACTGAGATCAACCTGGTAGACTCAGTCCAGGCAGGTTCAGTCCCCTCCTCCCAGGCCGAACCAAGTGACCCTGCATAAGTCCCAGGCTTCAAACAGCCAACTCATGCAATGAGCACAGGACCCGGTCCCACTGCCTGGATGCCTCCCAAACAGATCAAGCCAATCAACTGTCTCACCCATTCAGAGGGCCTGATCCAGTTGGGGGCCCCTCAGCCAGTGGTTCATAGTTCAGGTGTTTCCATTCATTTGACTATTTGTCCCTGTGCTTTATCCAACCTTGGTCTTAACAATTCTCGCTCATATAAACCCTCCTCTTTCACACTAATTGGACTCCCAGAGCTCCACCCGGGGCCTAGCCATGGATCTCTGCATCCAGTTCCCTCAGTCATTGGATGGGGTTTCTAGCACGACAATTAGGGTGTTTGGCCATCCCATCACCAGAGTAGGTCAGTTCGGGCTGTCTCTCAACCATTGCCAGCAGTCTATTGTGGGGATTTCATTGTGGATTTCTGTGGGCCTCTATAGCACTTTGCTTCTTCCTATTCTCATGTGGTCTTCATTTACCATAACCTCCTATTCCTTGTTCTCCCTCTCTGTTCTTGATCCAGCTGGGATCTCCCCTTCCCCCAAGCTCTCTTTCCCTCGACCCTCGCCCTACATTACCCCCACTCATGTCCAGGCTGTTGATGTAGATCTCATCCATTTCTCCATCACTGGGCAATCCCCGTGTCTTTCTTGGGGTCTTGTTTTCCAGGTAGCCTCCCTGGTGATGTGAGTAGCAGTCCAGTCATCCTTGTTCCACATCTAGTATCCCCCTATGAGTGAGTACATACCATGTTTGTCTTTCTGAGTCTGGGTTACCTCACTCAGGATGATTTTTTCTAGATCCATCCATTTGCCTGCAAACCTCATGATGTCATTATTTTTCTCTGCTGAGTAGTATTCCATTGTGTATATGTACCACATTTTATTTATCCATTTTTCAGTTGAAGGGCATCTAGGTTGTTTCCAGGTTCTGGCTATTACAAACAATGCTGATATGAACATAGCTGAGCAAGTGCCCTTGTGGTATGATTGAGCATTCCTTGGGTATATGCCCAAGAGTGGTATAGCTGGATCTTGGGGGAGATTGATTCCCAGTTTTCTAAGAAAGCATCCATATTGATTTCCAAAGTGGTTGTACAAGCTTGCATTCCCACCAGCAGTGGAGGAGAGTTCCCCTAGCTCCACATCCTCACCAGCATAAGGTGTCTTCAGTGCTTTTTATCTTCACCATTCTGACAGGCTTAAGGTGGTATCTCAGAGTTGTTTTGATTTGCATTTCCCTGATAATTAGGGATGTTGAGCAGTTCCTTAAATATCTTTCAGCCATTTGAGTTTCCTCTGTTGAGAATTCTCTGTTTAGTTCTATAGCCCATTTCTTAATTGGACTGTTGGGCATTTTGATGTCTAATGTCTTGAGTTCCTTATATATTCTGGATATCAGTCCTCTGTCAGATGTGGGGTTGGTGAAGACCTTTTCCCATTCTGTAGGCTGTGGCTTTGCCTTGTTGACAGTATCCTTTGCTCTACAAAAGCTTCTCAGTTTCAAGAGGTCCCATTGATTGATTGTTTCTCTCAGTGTCTGAGCTACTGGTGTTATATTTAGGAAGTGATCTCCTATGTCAATGCGTACAAGACTACTTCCTACTTTCTCTTCTAGCAGGTTCAGAATAGCTGGATTTATGTTGAGGTCTTTGATCCACTTGGACTTAAGTTTTGTGCACAGTGATAGATATGGATCTATTAGAAGCCTTCTACACGTTGATATCCAGTTATGCCAGCACCATTTGTTGAAGATGCTTTCTTTTTTCCATTGTACACTTTTGGCTTCTTTGTCAAAAATTATATGTTCATAGGTGTGCAGATTAATGTCAGCATCTTCAATTCGATTCCATTGGTCCACATGTCAGGTTTTTATGCCAGTACCAAGCTGTTTTTATTACTGTAGCTCTATAGTAGAGCTTGAAGTCAGGGATCTTGATGCCTCCAGAGGTTGTTTTATTGTACAGGGTTCTTTTGGCTATCCTGGGTTTTTTGTTTTTCCATATGAAGTTGAGTATTATTCTTTCCAGGTCTGTGAAGAATTGTGTTGGTATTTTGATGGGGATTGCATTGAATCTGTAGATTGCTTTTGGTAAAATTGCCATTTTTACTATGTTAGTCCTGCCTATCCATGAGCATGGGAGATCTTTCCATTTTCTGACCTCTTCTTCAATTTCTTTTTTCAGGGACTTAAAAGTTCTTGTCATATAGGTCCTTCACTTGCTTGGTTAGTGTTACCCCAAGGTATTTTATGTCATTTGTGGCTATTGTAAAGGGTGATGTATCTCTAATTTCCTTCTCAGCCTCTTTGTCAATTGTTTATAGGAGGGCTACTTTTTTTTTAGTTGATCTTGTATCCTGCTATGTTGCTGAAGGTGTTTATAAGCTGTATCAGTTCCTTGGTGGAATCTTTGGGGTCACTCAAGTATACTATCATGTTACCTGCAAATAGGGAAAGCTTGACTTCTTCCTTTCCAATTTCTATCCCCTTAATCTCCTTATGTTGTCTTATTGCTCTGGCTAGAACTTCAAGTACTGTATTGAATAAGTATGGGGAGAGTGGACAGCCTTGCCTCGTTCCTGATTTTAGTGGAATTGCTTTGAGTTTCTCTCCATTTACTTTGATGCTGGCTGTTGGCTTGCTGTAAATTGCCTTTATTATCTTGAGGTATGTTCCCTGTATTCCTGATCGCTCCAAGACCTTTATCACGAAGGAGGGGTGTTGGATTTTGTCAAATGCCTTTTCTGCATTTAGTGAGATGATCATGTGTTTTTTTTCTTTGAGTTTGTTTATATGGTGTATTACATTGACAGACTTTTGTATGTTGAACCGCCCTTGCATCCCTGGGATGAAGCGTACTTGATCATGGTGGATAATTGTTTTGATGTGTTCTTGGAGTCTGTTTGCCAGTATTTTATTGAGTATTTTTGCATCAATGTTCATGAGGGAGATCAGTCTGTAGTTCTAATTTTTCGTTGTATCCTTGTTTAGTTTAGGAATCAAGGTAATTGTAGCCTCATAGAAGGAGTTTGGTAATGTTCCTTCTGTTTCTTTTGTGTGGAACAATTTAGAGAGTATTGGTATTAACTCTTCTTTGAAGTTCTGGTAGAATTCTGCACTGAAACCATCTGGTCCTGGGCTTTTTTTGGTTGGGAGACTTTTAATGACTGTTTCTATTTCCTTAGGGGTTATTGGACTATTTAAATAGTTTATCTGGTCTTGATTTAACTTAGATATGTGGTACCTATCCAGAAAATTATCCATTTCTTTTAGATTTTCCAGTTTTGTGGAGTAGAGTTTTTTGAAGTATGACCTGATGATTCTCTGGATTTCCTCAATGTCTGTTGTTATGTCCCCCTTTTCATTTCTGATTTTGTTGATTTGGATGCTCTCTCTCTCTGTCTTTTGGTTAGTTTGTAAGGGCTTGTCTATCTTGTTGATTTTCTCAAAGAACCAACTCTTTGTTTCATTAATTTTTTTGTATTGTTCTCTTTGTTTCTATTTTATTGATTTCAGCTCTCAATGTGATAATTTCCTGGCATCTATTCTTCCTGGGAGGCTTTGTTTCTTCTTGTTCTAGAGATTTCAGGTGTGCTGTTAAGTCACTAGTGTGAGATTTCTCCAACTTCTTTATGTGGGCATTTAGTGCTATGAATTTCCCTCTTAGCACTGCTTTCATAGTGTCCTATAAGTTTGGGTATGTGTCTTAATTTTCGTTGATCTCTAGGAAGTCTTTAATTTCTTTCTTTATTTCTTCCTTAACCCATTGGTGATTCAGTTGAGCATTATTCAGTTTCCATGAGATTGTAGGCTTTCTGTAGTTTTTGTTGTTGTTGAAATCTAACTTGAAACCATGGTGGTCTGATAGAACACTTGGAGGTTATTCCAATTGTTTTGTATCTGTTGAGATTTGCTTTGTGGCCAAGTATGTGGTCAATTTTAGAGAAGGTTCCATGGGGTGCTGAGAAGAAGGTATATTCTTTTTTGTTAGGATGGAATGTTCTGAAGATATCGATTAAGTCCATTTGAGTCATGGCATCAGTTAAGTCCTTTATTTCTCTGTTAAGTTTCGATTTGGGGGATCTGTCCAGTGGTGAAAGCGGGGTGCTGAGGTCTCCCACTATTAATGTGTGGGGTTTTATATGTGGATTAAACTTTAGTAATGTTTCTTTTACATATGTGGGTGCCCTTGTGTTTGGGGCATAAATGTTCAGAATTGAAACTTCATCTTGGTGGATCTTTCCTGTGATGAGTATGTAATGCCCTTTTTGATCTCTTTTGATTGATTTTAGTTTGAAGTCTATTTTGCTGAATATCAGGATGGCTACACCAGCTTGTTTCTTAAGACCATTTGATTGGAAAGTCTTTTCCCAGCCTTTTATTCTTAGGTAGTGTCTATCTTTGAATTTGAGATGTGTTTCTTGTATGCAGCAGAAAGATGGGTCCTGCTTTCGTATCCATTCTGTAAGCCTATGTCTTTTTATAGGTGGATTAAGTCCATTGATATTAAGGGATATTAATGACCAGTGATTGTTCATTCCTGTTATATTTTGGTGGTAGTGTGTGTGTACTTCTCTTCTTTGGGGTTTACTGCTGTGGCTTTATCTATTGCCTGTGTTTTCAAGGGTGTATCTGACTTCCTTACGTTGGAATTTTCCTTCTAGTGCTTTCTGTAGGGCTGGGTTTGTGGATAAGTATTGTTTAAATCTGGCTTTGCCTTGGAATGTCTTGTTCACTCTGTCTATGATGATTGAAAGTTTTGTTGGGTATATTAATCTAGGCTGGCATCCATGGTCTCTTAGTATCTGCATTACATCTGTCCAGGTCCTTCTGGCTTTCAAAGTCTCC